CATGAGTTGGCTGTTTGAAACCTGGGGCCTATACAGGATTGTTTGGCTTGGCCTGGGAGGAGGGGACTAGACCTACCTGGACTGAGTCTACCAGGTTGACCTCAGTCTGTGGGGAAGGCTTTGCCCTGGAGGAGATGGGAATGGGGGGGGGGGGCGTTGGGGGGAAGGTGAGGGGGATGGGAGGGGGGAGAACAAGGGAATCTGTGACCGATATGTAGAACTGAATTGTATTGCAAAATAAATTAAAATAAATTTAAAAAAATTCATTTAAGAAATAAAAAAAAAAGAATAAATCAGAAAACATCAAATTATTACCTCCAAGTCGACAGAAATGATTTAACATAAATAACAATGGTTTAGAAAAATTTGTTAATCTCACAGAAACAAGTGTGTTAATATGACCCTAAATAAAAACCCAGATACAAGTAAAAAAAAAAAAAAAAAAAAAAAAAAAAAACTCAGCAAATTTGAATCTGACCTTCACATATGTTACACAGAGCACAAGTGCCCCACCTATGACACAAGTGCGCATGTGCGTAGTCAGGATAATAAAAGTAATGGCAGCAGTATAGTAATCATGATGAGAATGATGATGATGATATGCCACCCCACAGGTAAAGCTACTGTTTAAAACCATGAGTTAAAATGCCTTGTGGATATGTTTATTTCTTAGAGGCATTATCAAAGATTGGTTTTGTGGGTGTGTGCTTTTCTGATGAGTCCTGTTCAAGTCATAGCCAAGGGTTTGCAAATTTATGATATTGGGACATAAGTTTTTCTACAATGCTTTGAATTTGACAGACAATTACACAGACTTTTCACCATTTTACTTAGGAGAGATAAATCCTTCTGCTGTCAATACTGTTGTTTCAAATTACCTTCAATGACACAACACATTTGGAATGCAAGAATCGGACGGGCGGTGGTGGCGCATGCCTTTAATCCCAGCACTCGGGAGGCAGAGCCAGGCGGATCTCTGTGAGTTCGAGGCCAGCCTGGGCTACCAAGCGAGTCCCAGAAAAGGCGCAAAGCTACACAGAGAAACCCTGTCTCGAGAAACCAAAAATAAATAAATAAATAAATAAATAAATAAATAAATAAATAAATAAATAGAATGAAACAATCCCAATTTCAAAGACACTTACCTAATACTTCACTGTAAAGCTGATTCCACTTTTTCTAATTAAATGTTTGGAACCAAAAGTCAAAACAAAGCACATAGATTACATTTTGCACCCTCTCCATGAATGTCATTCGATCACTCAATTCTGACATAGCAGGGGGCACATAGGAAGGAGGCAGTGGGAGTCCTCCACTGTACTTTTTTTTTTTTTTTTTTTTTTTTTTTGGTTTTTCGAGACAGGGTTTCTCTGTGTAGCTTTGCGCCTCTCCTGGAACTCACTCGGTAGCCCAGGCTGGCCTCGAACTCACAGAGATCCGCCTGGCTCTGCCTCCCGAGTGCTGGGATTAAAGGCGTGCGCCACCACCGCCCGGCCCACTGTACTTTTTATATGTGGATCCAGGAAAGAAGCGGAGACTGTACATAAGTGGTATCTTGAGAATCTCAGTCAGCAGGTCTCCGCAGGGTATGAAGGGATCTGCTACCATGACGTCAAAGCTTGAATTGTATAGTTTTTTCATGAGTTTCTTGTTAAAAACTACATCTTTGCAGAGACTCTCAGAAAATTCAGAGTCTAACCAACAAAGTTCTTGCAACATTAAAAAATATCTCCAAAATGATTGCTTTGGCAGCTCATAAATGCATTTCCCAAATAATTCCATATAAAGGTCCTCCAAATCAGCCACGGGAATGGATGAAGGGTATGTTTCAAACTCAAGAGCAGATTTGTCCTCAACCTCATAAGAAAGGGAAGCTGAGGGTATCAGAACAGTCACCTCATGACCCTTCTTCACAAGCTCATCTAGGATTATCTTTAAGTTGAGCCAATGGCTGTATTCCATTGGCCACTCCATCACCTTCCCACCACTCCCAGATCCAAAGAAGCCACTCAGATGGAGCAGGAGCAGGATTGCTATCATTTTCACAGACATCTTACTTAAATCCAGAGCTGCCTTTCAAATGGCAATCACTCAGCTCTTGCAGGTATAGGAGAGTAATAATTAGTTAAAGCATAACTTATACCCACAAAAGCAAATACACATGGGATAGTCACAGCCTCTGAATGCCAAGTGCAAACACCAGGAGGCAGATGTGAACATGTGAAATGACTCTTGATTCTCAGTGACCTTGAATGTATAATGTACTTGGAGAACAGTGAACAGTAAGATCTCCCTGTCTTTCTTTGTCTCTCTCCTTCTAATGTAGCTTCCTTGATAAAGAACTTACAAAAAAGACATAACTGTTGAGTCACACTTTTAAAATATCACAGTCCAGTGTGTCTTCATATGAATGTTGACAACAGCATTCCTTTACCATACTATTGAATGATTTTAAATAAATGGTTCAGAGGTTCATAGTATAACCTCAGAATTATAAACACTGCAACTAAATTTGAAGCTGATTTTATCCTAGATAGAGGCCCTGTTCTGTTAGACTTTCCATTGGTTCCAGCCCTACCCAATCAGGAATCTTCTTTCTTATAACTGGTCACCCTGGCAGGAGTGAATATATTCTGAGACACTTTTGCCTCCCTCCTTAACTATCAGACTATTGAAAGTATGGACGCTAAGAAATTAGAATTTTCCTGGTGATCTTCTACTGGGAGAAGAATTGTCTGATGCCTTGGGGGTACCTAGGAGGAATCTGTCCTCAAGGGCCATTTACAAGCTAGCGGGGCACTAACATTTCTGAAGAGCCTAGAAGCTAAGAAAGTGTTGGGCAAGGGACCACATCATGGCTGAACTGCTTAGCTGTGCATATGTCTTATCAGAATCCCAAAGATGGAGTTGGGTAAGGGTGACTGGCTCTCTCTGCCTCTCTTACTAAAGTGAGTAAATCTGTTTTATTTTTTCCTGAATTTTACAGTTTATTTGGCTCCTTTGATTGGCTTATTTAAGTGTGTGTGTGTGTGTGTATGTGTGTGTGTATGTGTGTTTGTGTGTGTGTGTGTGTGTGTGTGTGTGTGTGTGTGTGTGTGTAACTGGCTTTTGGGGACACACAGGCTGAGACCCTTTAGTCATGAAACACCCATTTCTCCTTATTATGAGCATTTCATGTAGCTGTTATAAATTGGCTGGTGCTTTGTGAATGGCTTTGATTATATTAAGGGTTTAAAGTACTGTCATGTTATAGGAGGTAGCCAAGTTTCTTTTATGTAATATTAACTACATATTGTAACAGAAAGTCCACACTTGCTCTTTTTTAATTTGATTGATATTAGCTTTGTTCCCAATTTTTGACTACTTTTTTTATTAATATTGATGTACCATATATTTGTCCTGTTCTATATTTTGATCTCAACCCTTTCCTGAGTCCATTTATCTGTTTCAGACATCACCAAAAAATCCCTTATTTTCATTATTCCCTCATTGAGGCAAAATATCATTAGAAAAAAGACCAGGGTGCCTCCTTACTAAAGTTCAGGTGGTGTCCTACACACAGCACCAAGCAAACCATGAGTTCCTCTGAGGGCTCCACCTCAGAGAGCAAGGGCAAGAGGTCTGAGCAAGCTTGGACAGGAGAGCCGGAATGGGTGAAAGCACTATCATGCTCTTGGGCAGAACCCAGTTTACCCTGACCTGTGCTCTATGGGATCCCAGCAGTGGGATCCGCCTAGCAAGATGGCAGAGTTGCTCCTGAGTGGGTATTGAAGAAAGGTACACCTGGTGGAACTCATGGCTGTCCTGGGGTGAGCATGGAAGTGGAGTGCAGCCTGGAGTCTGGCAGCTGGGCAGGCAGGAAGTGTGGGCAGAGACTTCTTGCAATTCTTATCTGGAGTTTAACAAGTTGGGGGCAGAGACCTGGGAAAATAGGGATCCACCCTGCCTGCTGCTGAGTCTCCATCCCAGTTCCCTGGAAGAGGTTTGTGTGGATCTGTTCTTACTTCTCTTTGAAGTGTAACTATAGGAGCCTAATGCTAGGATCTTTAAAGTCTGCAGAAGTGGCAGACTGTTTCCAAGGAGCTGCTCAGGTTGCCATCCACAGTACAGTACAGCATATCCTGATGTCTCTCCCCTTGTTCTCTTTCTCTCTTGATTATAAGCAGTTAAGAGGATGAAGCCCCATCTCATTGTGGTTTTCAGTTGTTTTGAGCTGAGCTTGGTTGACGTTAAGCATGATGATACTGAACATACTTCCACATGCGTATTAGCCACCTGCGGCTCTCTCACGGAAAACGTCTATTCAGATCCGCTCTCCATAATTTATATTGAGTCATCTCAAGTGTTTTCCCTTCCACATTATGAAGATATGGCCTTTCATTATACAGTGCTTAATTCTTTTGGGGGTGGAGGTATATGAATTTCAAATGCATTCTCCAGGTTTGTGATTTGTGTTTTCAGTGATGTTTTTTGATGCAGAGAAGTTTTCATTTTTGAGAGTTCAATTAATGAAGTTTAGCTTAGTTGCTTCTGCTTTTGATGTCGAAGAGAAAACTAAATTTCAAATTCAATAACAAATATGTATTCGCACATGTATTAACATCTTATATTTATAATTCTTACCTTTACTTCTTAAAGCATTTTAAATGATCATTATATGTAATCATTTAAGAGTTAGAGGTCCATTTTTAATTTTTCATGCCAATAGATTTCTTAGAAGCCCTGGATAAGAAAAGAAAAATACAAAAAACAAAAGCAAACAAACAAAACCAAACCCTGCAACTTTCCCATGGATAGTTCTGTGATCCTTGTCAAATATCAATCAAATTGTATAATTTTATATTCTCTATAACTTTAGCACTCTCACACAAAATTAATAAAGCATAAAAGTAATAAAACCACCATCAGGCATTAAGAATCTTTTTTTTTTCCAGATAATTTAAAATATTTGTTTTTTTCAAGTTACACATGATGGTCAAAATAGTAATGATGTCCTTCCATGTAGTGACACAGTATAAACGCTGGGATATGAGTATAGATGGTGAATGGGCCGAAATCAGGAGAATTTAGGAACACACTGAACTCTGAAATAAACAGACAAACAGATGGTCTACAAGGACAGCACAGTCTAGTCATCATCAGAGTCTGAATCGCATTTCTTTCCTTGGATAGTTTTCTTTTCCAGCTTTGTGAAGTTTGTCCCAAATTTCTTTTGGCTCTGAAATGGTGGCTCCATTAAATTTCCACTGTAATTGATAACGTCAGAACAGCCAAGTCTCCATTCTAAAGTATCCGTAGTGAAGTCATCCGTACTGCCTAGGTCGGTGAACCCGACAACATGATCCTGTGTCTTGCCGTCTCTCAGGAGCGCTAGTGTGGGGATGACCGTGATCCGCAGTCTCTCACAGAGGAATGGCGCCTATTCCACATTCAGCTTCAAAAACTTGGTTTCAAGATGTTTTTTGGCCAGTATTGCCAAATGTCTGTCTAGTATTTTACACCTGAATGTGGTGTCTCTGTAGAAATGGCAAACCACCTTTTCACTCTCCTTGACTTCCTGAAAGAAGTCTCTCTCACTGACCACTTCTCTGTCCTCCCCATGTCCTTTAGAAAGCCACTCTTGTTTCTGCTGCTGGGCCTTCCTGAGTGCCGCCAGTCTCTTTTCTTTGAGGAGTTCCAGCTCGTCTTCACCGATCTGATCCAGTTTCTGAATTTCAGAGTCCAAGTGGTTTTCCACGAGCTTAGTGGCCTGGAGGAACTGGTTCTCTAGGACTTCTGAGAACATGTCGATGGATCCATTCCCTTCCATTTTTCTAAACAGTCTTGCTGCTGGACTATTGGTGATGGCTACTAAGAGAGGAAGCTGCAGATCAAGAATACTGATCAGGTTCACGCAGGTTTCAGCCTCCAAGAATCTTTTATTGCCAATATATGATTTAATATGATTATGTGTACATAAAAACTGTAGAAATTACCTATGCCAAAGAGCATGATATATTGATGTAACAGTTTTCTTTTAAATCAAGATAAAAATCAAACACAGATCAAAAATCAAATATGAAATGATTATTCCCCAACACTGTAACAATGAAAATGGATAGGAATTCTAAATATATATATATATATGTGTGTGTGTGTGTGTTACAAATTATTTAGTTAATTATCTTTTTTTTTTTTTTTTTTTGGAGAGAGAGTTGCTCATGTAGTCCTGGCTGTCTTAGAACTCTGTCTGTAGACCAGGCTGGCTTGGAACTCAGAGATCTGCCTGCTTCTATCCCTGGAGTACTCTGGAGAGCTGGGGTTAAAGGCTTCTGCTACCACTCTTGGCTATTGTTTCTGTTTTTTTTTCTATTTATATTATTTACATAAAATATCTTTTTTCATTTTTGTTTTAGAGAAAAGGCTGTAGACCAAGTTGATCTTGAACTCCCAAAGATCCCCTTGTGCCTACCTCCAGAGTGCTAGGATTAAAAGAGTGTGCCACTACCACCTGGGTACATAAAATAATTAAAAACGAACAAAAAAAATAAGAAGTTTAAATTCACCAGGCAAGATGGCACACACCTAGCTCTCTGTGAGTTCAAGGCCAGCCTGGACTACATAGAGGGTTTGAGGACACCCAGAGATACACAGTGAGAGTCTGTCTCAAGTGTACAAGTCAACAATCACAAAGGAGAACAAATAAAAGAATAGAAGAAATAAAAAGAAAATGATAAACAAACATATGTTTCACTCCAAACCCAGGCCTGAAGTGTTGGCTCAGCAGTTAAGAGCTCTGGTTGCTGTTCCAGAGGACCCAGTTAGAGTACCAGCACCCACGTGGCTCTCAGACAACTGTAATCCAATCACAGTTTCCTAGTCCATCTTCTAGCTTCTGAATGCACCAAGCACACATGTGGTACACACACATACACGCTGAGACAACACTCATGCAGCATGTATAAATAAATATGATTTAAAAACAGGGACCTAAAATGTATCTTTAAGCAAGTAGACTTGAGAGATTAGGATCCCATTATAAAGCAACTTCTATAAAATAAAAACTACAGGATGGAAATTAATGGGGCAATATGCCTTTAAATTCTCCATGTATAGAGACTGGAATTAAGTGTTAACCAAGGCAGAAGGAGGGTGTTTAAAGTGAACCTTGGAATGGGCACATCAACCTGAACCTACCTGATCTCACCCAAGTTGAACTTTGGTTTCTGCTCAGGATTGTTTTGAATCCAAATATTGGCAGGAGCCGAAATCTGCTTCTGTTCCTATAACTTTCTCCCTTTGAACAGTCAGTGTTCTTTTAACCCTTGCAAGCAAAGGTTTCTTTTGGTCAGTGTTGCCTTTATAGCTAGCTCCTGTAAACTGGGCACACTGGCATAATGTTTCCATATCCATGGAACTCTCTTGGCCAGCTTCAGCTCTCTTCCTTATTTCATGTATTTCTAGCATCAGCTTGGTTGTGTTTCCCTGGGGTTAATACACAGGGTCACATTCTCTCCTGGGTTCAGAAGGAGCAAGGGCTTGTGATTGACCAGGTCTCTCATCTCTCCTTTTCTTGGACACTCTGATCTATTGCAGTTACTCTTTTTTTCTGACTTTGTCCATGACTGATGCTTCCCTGGGTAACCTGATCATAATTGCTTTCCTAACCTTTTTTTTTGTGGTGGTATTTTGTATATGCGCTAACAAATAAAGCTTGCCGGGAGATCAGACCTTTAATCCCAGCACTTGGAAGGAAAAAGCAGAAAGATCAGGAGTTCAAGGCCACCCTGGCCTACACGATGTTTATCTAGTCTAAAAGAGAAACAGAGCCAGATGGTGGACGCTCATGCCTTTAATCCCAGCACTAGGGAGATGGAGACATAAAGACAAGGCATTAGGAGACAAGAGCTCAGCCATTCGGTTTGAGGATTCGGTAGAGGTAAGAAGTCTCTCTAGTGGCTGGCTCCTTTACCTCTCTGACATTTCAGCATTTACCTCGATAACTTCAGGATTTTATTATTAAGACCAATTAGAATTCACGGTCCACTTCTTGTAAAGTATACTGCATACTTTACAGGTGTGACAGCTGTCCCAGGGCTCACTTCATCTTCACTAACTAGGGTTTCTGCTGCTTCTGAACTCTGAGCTTTGAACTGTTTATGGTGGAAGGGCTCAGCTCTGCATTGGTAGGAAGATGGTTTCTAGTTTCAGTGCATGTGATTCTCATTCAGGATTTCCTTCTTGTTGATAAAATTATGTTGGTTTCACCTGGGGCTCACCATTACAGGAGTCCATTTCAGAATGTGTGGATATTTTATTGGAGGTATCAGATGGGATAGATCTTTTTGTGATCCTGCACTGCCCAAAGCAGTTTTCATCTAGAACGTATGGAGCCACATCATGTGCTAGATACAGTTTTCTTTTGTCTTGCTCTTATCTGGAGATTCGGCTTCTTGTAGTTAACTCTGCTCATGATAAATATTGTTTTCACCCCTTGCTATTAAAATTTCAAAAACTAATTATAACTTTACGATAATCTATATCTTATGATCAAGGTCATGAAATGAAATACCCTGGTTTTTCATAATAAAGCCATGTCATCAGCATACTGAATCACACTATGCCTAGAAGCATTCTTCCTACTACTTGAATAGCACTATCAAGCTATATCTGAATCAGCTATGATATCAGATTAGGATAGTCTTGTTTTTACATTCAGAATATTTTCTGCCCATGAGAAATTTATAGTATATTCCCAGATTATATAACTAGATTTTTAGATTCATTCAAAAACCATTCACAGATAGTCACATTGTACTATGAAGTGGGGATACATGAAGAAGAAGTAGTCGAGGTCACTATCCAGGATGAAGCTAACATAGGGTAGGTGTGAGCTGTCACTGAAAGTCAAATGAGTAATAGAACTTTTCACAATGCCATGACCTGGGTGCCATTTGCTGTTTTATTCCTGATGTTTAGGATTCCTGGATTTTTATGAACTGGAATAGAAATGAAATCTGATGGTGGTATGATGACACATGACTGGATCAGAGCAGTAACTGATATGAACTCAAAATAAAGCTGGAGTTGTGTGATTCCCAGATTCATCCTTAATGAGCTTCTTATTCAATCCAGGATGGTCATGATGTAGAAGGGATCTACATGCTGTGGAGAGGACCACAGAGATGGCCCCTGCTATATCAGGTCAACTCCATTTGTAGTGGACAGGACCACAAGTATGGTCCTGTAAATGAAGAATCAAAATCCACTCCCACAGACTTGCCAATAGGCCAGACTTTCCTCACAGATGACTCTAGGCTTTGTGAAGGTAGCAACTGAAGCTAACCAGATGGATAACTAAATATTTTCTAATTGGATTTGAGGCCCACTCTTTTGGCAGGAAGCTGACACTATAAACCTGATTAAAGGTCAAGGAAATCCTAGCTTGGAACCTACTATTGCTATTTTGCTGAATGTTCATTGTAGCTGGGAGTTTCTTGGGTCCTGCCCAGCTCTGTGGTCAGGATGACTCTCTCTTACCTGCAGTCCCACAGCTACTTATACAATAATCACTCAGAGGTTTATATTAATTACAAACTGTATGGCCTATGGCTTCAGCTTATATTAGCAAGCTCTTTCAATTTAAGTCAACTCATTCCTATTAATTAATATGTTGCCACGTAGCTGTGGCATTATCGATCTGCCGCCATCTTGTTGTTCCTTCTGTGGTGGCTGATGTCTCTCCAGACTCCATCCTTCTTCATCTAGTCTATAGTGTGAATGTACTGCCTAACCTTAACCTGCCCTGCCATAGGAAAATGCAGCTTTATCAACCAATCAGAGCAACACATATTCACAGTGTACAGAAAGACATCCCCCACCGTGTCATCTTGGGAAAGTGCCTTCTAAATGTTAATGGTGACAGCCATAGCCATAGATCTGCCATGTTCTTAGCCTTTGTCAGAGAAGCTTTTGTTGTAATGGACACCATTCAACTCAGAGACTGACAACTGTCCAAAGGGCTGAGAATGATTAAGTCCATACCAAGGCTCAGGGAATACTGCAGAAGCACCGGGAAAGAATGTAAGAACCTGATGATGAGAAGTGATATGGAACACTTTCTTCTGGACATGCCATGGCTTTTGCATTCATAAACTCAAAGAATCTCTCAGCTGCACAGGACTTGCATAAGATAAGGTAGACCAATTTCCATAATGAATGCTTTTGGCAGTCATAGATTCCAGGAGGGGATGAATCATTACTATAGGGGTTGAGTGGACACTGGTACATTGGCCATGATGTAGCAATGTCTCCTCATGAATGCATACATGTATCTATATGTACCACTAATTGGACTTACTGGGTTATTAAAAATTAGAGGTCAGGAAGTTGTGATTTGGACATATTGGGAGAGATCCAGTGGGAAGTAGGAATATGATCGTGAGGGAACAATTTAATATTTTTAATATTTTCCAGAATCAAAGTGAGAAATTCTAAATGAAGAAATTAAACAAAATAAACAAAACAAATTGGGAGTCTGTGGGGGAAATTTCAGATTGGGTATATAATATGAGGTAAGTGATGTTGGGACTTAAAAATTCTGGTCTTCTCTTGCATGTTTACTTTATAAGTGAGAGGAAATGGAACTTTTGACAGCTCATGTCTACTTCAAAAGACTGAAATAAGAGTGGCAGTGTCCAGGTCAGTTGTGGCTAAGGGATAAGATGGAAAGCCTGTCTTGCTGGGATGCACTGGGAAAGGTTCGTGAGTTTGTCCTCCCCACTTCAGCTACTCCCTTTTCTTCTTCTTCTCTCCAGCTTTAGCAAATTTCTGGCAACAAAAGAGGCAACACTTCATGATGATGAGCATCACAGTCATCACACAGGCCAGCAGGAATCCAAGGACATCCAGAGAGTGGTACTGGAACCAGGTGAGGTCATGTGCTGCCACACGAAGGTGCTTGGCTCCTTTGTTGCGCATGACATACTCAATCCAGAAGACAGCTCTGTCCAGGGGCTTCACTGACTGTTCATGGTGAATTCTTGATAGCTGCATGGCATTCTCCTTATAGCTAAAGACAGCAACATGGAAAATCAATTAGTTTACTTAAGTGCATGAAGCCTATGGAAGGTTCAGGGAAAGCATCACGAGACTTAGTACATTCCTTAGATTAGTCCTAGATACCGTGTGGTTTTGATTGGGACATGTTTGAAGGTTTGCCTGTAAGCTGTCATTTTCTGAGAAATTCTTTCCCAAACTGAAATGGAAATCATTTGGGAAGTAAATCTTTCCAGCAGAGCAAATGTTCATAATCCTTTTCTAGCACTGTGAGGTGATTCATAGAGACTGAGCATGATCACATTGATGCTCTTGAGAAGAAAAGGTGTCATAATTCTTTATAATCTCAATAAAAACACTATTGATGATTAAAAATTGGGAACTGGTGAGAATGGGACATACTTTGCACCAGATGACTTGAGGGCTGGGATGCAGCTCATTGATAACTTGCTTAGAAACTATTTCCATCATCAAATTATTCTAAACTAACCTCTCATATAGTAAGTCTGTAGAGATAGTTTGCAGTCTTGACTGACAGTGAAAGCTCATTCCACAGTGCTTAAATGGGTTTTACATTGTTGTCGATGTTTTCAAACTTATACTAATGTTCTAGGAGATGTTTTCCTGTGTGCTTTGAATATATGTTGTTCTTATTGGTTGATAAGTAAAGCTGTATTGACCTATGGCAATGCAGCTTAGAGGAGGGCAGTAAATACAAGCAGATAGACAGGAAAGAGAAAGGAGAGGAGAGAGAGACACCAGCCTGCTGCCCAAGGAACAACATGCCAGCAGACCGGTAAGCCCCAGGACATGTGGCACAACATAGATTAATAGACATGGGTTAATTTAAGATATAAGAGCTAGCTATCAAGAGGTCTGCCATATGCTATACAGTGTGTAATTAATATAGTCTGTGTGCTTACTTGTCTGAGAGGCTCTGGGATGGGCAGGAGAGAGGAAAATTTCTGACTACATTTCGTGCTCACCCTTGGGTATTGGTTCATATAGACCTAAGAAAGCTTAAAGATTCTGAACGCACAGAAACAGAGCCACACTAAGCTTCCTAGTCTCACAGTCTCATGCCAGTAGCCCAGTGGAGTCTTTTCTCCCAACAGCTGTCTGTGAGATGGAGCCTCCTGCCAGCCACTATAAGCTAAGCAGCGTGGTGGATCCCCACTGCAGTACACAGTGTGTCTCCAAGCTGAGCAGTGTACTGTGTGGTGTATTTAGCTTTTGCTATTACCAAAAGAAGGAGGAGGAGGAGGAGAAGGAAGAGCAAGAGGAAGAGGAGGAGGAGAGGTTTCTAGGCTACATGCTGCTGCTGGATGAAGGCATGGACCCAATGACTCCCAGAGACAGGAGATGGCATGGCTCTCAGAGCTGGTGGTAAATTATCTCCACCATGTTGGAAAGCTGAGGTGGGTAGAGCCAGCAGCCAAGGATGCTGCTTTTCTTCCTAGCCACGCAGTTGAACAGTTTAAAAACTCTCCTGCCGGGCGGTGGTGGCGCACGCCTTTAATCCCAGCACTTGGGAGGCAGAGCCAGGTGGATCTCTGTGAGTTCGAGGCCAGCCTGGGCTACCAAGTGAGTTCCAGGAAAGGCGCAAAGCTACACAGAGAAACCCTGTCTCAAAAAAAAAAACCAAAAAAAAAAAAAAAAAAAAAAAAAAAAACTCTCCTGGTCAGAGAAGATTTATAGATTCACAATAAGATGGATTCAGATGAACAAAACTCTAAACTGTTTACAATGTATGTAAAAATTATGTAGGCTTGGAAGAGAGAGAAAAGGTAATATATATAAAGGTAATATATATAAACATATAGATAATTTTTAGAAATAAAATCTTTAAAGAGACAATAAAAATGATATAAAAATAAGCCACATAAAGATGGAAATCACACAGAGAGGCTGGATTACATTGTCTTTGGGATTTTTAACTGCAGAAACACATTTGATTGTAAAGACTGATGTGTTAAGCCTATATATATATATATATATATATATATATATATATATATATATATATATATAAAGGTATCTTGACTTTAAAGCTTGTGTCTAAGGATATGTTGCTTTGGAAAAGAGGTTCTGCTTTTGTTTCCACAGAAGATGAGAACCTGTGGATTGCTTCCAGGCTAATATGGTTTGACCAGCCAAGACCTCTGAAAGGTCTCCAATAACACCATGGCCCAGATGATCCAACATTCAAAATCAGCTTCAAGGCAACTGGGTCAGAGAATACAGCCTCACAGACTACTCCAGTCAGCACTTGACCATAAACTTAAAATTTTCTTTGTGTCCCATAAGACTACCAACACCCACAATCAGCAGGAAGTAGCCAGAAATCTATGCCCACACCCCAAAAACTGGATTATGGATATTTGTCTTTGTTTAGAGATTGGTTATATATTGTTATTGGTCATAGTCAATATATTTCTAAAAGAAAATAGGGGTATAGGATATAGGTATGATAGGATGAAAGGGTAGATTTTTGAATCTACTTTTAAAGAGCAACAACTTGCTTAAAATATTTTTCATTGATATAGATTTTAGTTTATTGATACAAATTTAATTTTTTATACTGTATGTATATTTTTACTCATTAAAACTTTATGTTTATACAACTCATTTAAAATTGTAATGTATCATTAAGAAATACAGATTAATAATCATCTATAATCATCTAACTTGTCATATTGGTTAAGTTTTCTATATATACATAGATATATTTCAATTAGGTAGGTAATCTTCAAACACTTCAAACACCTACAGAATATGGCATTTAAAATGTTTTAAAAACTTAGACTTTCTGGATGGACATTGAGACATGTCTGCTCCTGGCAGCACCAATCTACTTCAGAGAAGATAATGGACATTGAAGAAACTCATTATTGAGTTTGATTTCTGGGTTTTTTTTTTTTTGGTTTTTCAAGACAGGGTTTCTCTGTGGATCTCACTCTGTAGACCAGGCTGGCCTCGAACTCACAGAGACCCTCCCGCCTCTGCCTCCTGAGTGCTGAGATTAAAGGCTTGTGCCACCACCACCTGGAGGAGTTTGCTTTCTTTGTGGCAAAAGTTAGCCACTGGGCAAAAAAGTGACCTTGTGTCCACTGCTTGACAGTATGTTATATAAAATGTACATGCAGGACCCATAGGAAGGTAACCACTGAACTTTGCAAGATGAGATGGTTTTTGAGTTTCTGCTTCACAGAGGAGATTGCCAGATATTCTATATGACACAAGGAGAAATGACTGAGAAACACTAAGCCTAAAGGCTGGAGATGGACGCCCCAACATTACAGAGGAACTTTGGATGATTTCCAGGCAGCCAGCTGTCTCTGTCTTTCTAGATTTTTGGAAGTTGCTTACAATGCTCTTCTTGTTTACCTAGGTAATATTATATCCTTATGTCATCTTTGATGTAGTTGAAGACTAGAGAGAATATTTTCTTTAATTTTAAATAGACTAGATATTATAACTGTAATTCCTGCTGATTACTGATCTAGTATATTTAACTTTACTATGTTAGAGTGAAAACCTTCCTGTTTGATTAGATAGAAAAGGGGAAATGCTGGGGGATGTCTTTCTGTATGCTGTGAATATATGTTGTTCCCATTGGTTGATACATAAAGATATATTAATCTATGGCAAGGCAGCTTAGAGGCAGGCAGGAAATACAAGTAGATAGACAGGAAAAAGAAAGGAGAGGAGAGAGAGAGAGACACCAGCCTGCCACCCAAAGAACAACATGCCAGCAGAACAGTAAGCCATGGAACTCATGGCAAAACATAGATTAACAGAAATGGGTTAATTTAAGATATAAGAGCTAGCTTTGAAGAGGTCTACCATATGCTATACAGTTTGTAAGTAATATAATCTGTGTGTTTACTTGTCCAAGAAGCTACAGGACAGGTGGGACACAGGAAAACTTCTGACTACACAAAAGGTCAGATGAATTCTACTGTTACCTTGGAGAGAACCTATCTGTACCAGTACCATCTTGAACAAAATCACTGTACTTACGAAGGATCATTAGTGACTATCTTCAGTGCATCAACCAAATCTGTACTGGACATTGTAAGAAAGTCCAGTCTAACACCTGCTCCTTTGGTCTTCATGCGAACAATATTATCAAATTGGTCACCAAACAAAGGAATGCCAACCACAGGGATCCCATGGTAGATCGCCTCATAGATGCCATTGGTGCCACCATGAGTTATAAAAGCTCTGGTTTTAGGATGACCTAGGAAGGGGAGAAATCAAGGACAAGTATTAATCATAAGTCTGAGATAGAAAATGAGAGGCAGGAAAAGAGGCACAGAAAGGGTAAATATTCTCTAGTTAACAATATCATAATCACGAGACTGCACTGAATTCCTCTCATGTCTTAAAGCAAGGAGCACCACAAGTCCACAGAGGTTAAGTGAAGGCCACCTAGAGGAGGTGCAGTGTGGAAGCAGAATGGTTTTGTACAATGACCAAAAGGCAGAGCTCCTCCCAAGTGCAGCAAACAGCTTGTGTAAGCACAGGCTCTGGTTCAGGAGAGTGTGTTCTCTTAAAGGAACAGTGAAGCCACTGTTCATGGTAGGTTACCTCCATGTAGTAGAGGGTTGGTTGATCATACTGATGAAATGAGAATTAGAACAAGCAATGCTTCATCAAATATAGGACTGCCTCATAATGTGGAGTTTTGGGGGAGCTAGTAATTGAAGAGTCATTAATGAAAGGATACCATTCTCACTGGCATTTGAAATTGACCTACCATAGGGGAAAGGGTGTATGTAAAAGTATAGAAATAGGAGGTGAACACAAACATGAAGAAGTGGCTTAAGTGTATCTGAAAGATAATTACAGTGGAGTTAAAAATAGATTCTCCCATCTCCAATGTTACTGTACAAAATATTCACATCAATTGTTTACCCATTTTCTCCAAAAGTAGATCACAGCTGTCCTAAATGCCTTAGTGTTGACATTCACATTCATAAGCAGTCATTCCTCATGTCTCAGGGATCTTCTCATGCTTACCAAGAAGGTCATTCTGGGGGATCCATTTGTACAGCTGAGTGTTGGAGCCCAAGGTGTCTGGTTTCTTGCCTTGAAATCGCCAAAGAACCTGTTTAGAGGAAGCTAGCCTCTTATTGCTTTGGTCAAATGCAAGTTACTCCTGATAGAATTCTGGATAGATTAAGAATCAATGGAGATAAATGACAAGTCTCGATGAGCCAGGAGGTGAGGATCGATGATGGGAACTTTGAAGAACTACTACAGCAAGGATGCAATAGTCTTCACTCTCCCGCATTTATTCTCATGCTTATCCAAGTGTCAGCATGCCACCTTAACATTTAACAAAGAGCAACTTAGACAAAGTTAGGTCCAGTAATATCAACCAGCAGTTAAGAAATGTGTCAAGGCTGGAGAGATGGCTCAGTGTTTAAGAGCACTGGCTGCTCTTTTAGAGGACTTAGTAGCAATTTCCTCTACCCACATGGCAGCTCACTACTGTCTGTCTGTAACTCCAGGTCCATGGGAGCTGACACCCTCACACAAATATACATGTAGGCCAAACACCAATGCACATTTAAAAAAAAGTGTGATTGTAATTCCAGTTCAACAATCCACCAATGTTACTAATATACACCTTTTTTTCCAATATATATTTATAGCAATTTTTGCTTTCCAAATTCAATATAAATATTTTTCAATGATATTTGAGTTAATTCTTTATCATCACTTATATCATAGGTATTTTGTTAGATTAGGTCCCTGTGACATGTCATTGTCTATGTGCATGGTCACATAAAGAGCAAGTCCCCGAGTTACCTTCTATTTCAGCATTAAAAGCCACAGTCTCCCAGATGGACTCTCGGTTGGTAAATCCTAGTCTACCTATTGTTTTGAATAGCAAGGAAAACATTTCCATGCATAAGCCCATTTTAATATGTAGGTGGTCACATTTGGCCAAGACCAAAAGGAATATTATGCTGTTATACAAACTCCTTTATGAAAAATTTACATTTTCTTCTTTTTCTATTGTTTTTATTGGAAAGAAATTTTTTCATACAATATGTTCTGATTATATTTTTCCCTCCCTTACCTCCTCCTCTTCCATCCATATCCACACCCAGTCTTTCTCTCACCTTAGAAAAAAGGCATCTAAATAATAATAATGAAATAAGATAAAAGATAAACAAATACACAACAATAGCACAAGTTTCATTTTTAAAATAATGATTTATTACTATTTATGTGTAAGTCAGTATGTCTGCATGTGTGAGTATGTATGTGCGGTAGTTTGAATAGGTATGGCCCTCATGGACTCCTGTGTTTCAATGCTTGGCCTATAGGGAGTGGCACTATTTGGAGCAGTGGTCTTGTTGGAGGAAGTGTGACCTTGTTGGAGGAAATGCGCCACTGTGAGGGCAGGCTTTGAGGTCTCATATGCTCAACCTATGCCCAGTGTGGCACACAGTCTCCTTCTGCTGCCTGTGAATAAAGATATAGAACTCTGCCCCTTTTCCAGCACCATGTCTACCTGCATGCCACTGGCCATGATGATAATAGACTAAACCTCTGAAATGGTAAGCCAGCCCCAGTTAAATGTTTTCCTTTATAAGAATTGCCGTGGTCATGAAGTGTCTTCACAGCAATAGAAACCCTAACTAAGACAGTATGTGTATACATATGTATGGAACGTGTGTACGGGTGTCATGACAGGCTGGATGAGGGCATTGAATCCCATGGAGATGCAGTTATAGGCAGTTGTGAGATGATAATCTTGGAGTCTCAGAAGTAAGTTCAGGTCCTCTGGGTGACAACACATGCTCTTCAAGGATGAGGCACTTCTGCAGTCCCACAACTGCAAATTTTGATTGCTTCCAAATTGTTACTGGGCCAGTGTGCTTACTGGTTATAACTTAAATGCTGTATGGTTTTAAGGTAGTGTGTGCAGAGTACTTAAATATCCTCCACGATAATGGAGGAAGTAACAAGACACACTTTTGTGCCTATAATACCTTCCTAATACCGAGGTCACAAACACTTGTTAAGTGGTTTTTTTTTGTTTCTGAACACAATGTTAATAACAAATTTATTAATCAAAAACATCACCTACTATTTGGCATCTGTCCCTTGTATTTTGGTGTCTTAAGTGACATCAGATATGAGCTAGAACTCTCAGGACAGCTTCAATTTCTCACAAGAGGTTTCTGCCATCACACCTGAACTGGATATGACAGTCTTAGTGAGGATGCCACACTGAGGCACTGTATCTTACCTTCTGTGGAATCTGGGCAAGGCCTGCTGCAATCACATTGGCCCTTTCTTCTGTTAGGGTACCCACCATGGATCCCAGGGAAAACACCACAACACCATGTTCTCCAGATGACTGGACAAAGTCTTCTATTTCCTGTTAATGGAATATCAGCTCATCACAAACAGCAGCAACACCAAATAACCTGCATAAAAACTGGTACCAACATCCACAGGAAGAAACTGAACAGCATTGGAAATGATTAGAATACTGGATGTTTTAAAACTATTCACATCCACATATAAGATGGACAGTTGTAGTCAAATGTAAGGTTACAGTTCTCTGTGTTATACATCTTCACATTCATTAAAACAGTTCTGGAACATTTTCATCTTGACAAGCAAGATCTGTTTATATTAAATTCAAAGTTCTCTTTCTTCCTCCTCAGTCTCTTGGCCACCAAACATCTGCTTTCTGTTTCTATTATTTTGACCAGTCTAAGGAGTTTACATAAGGTATGCTTATTTTATTATTGTCTTGTTCATTGGCTAGTTTACTTAGTGTACTGTCATTAAAATTAATACCTTGCATCTCTAGACCATAGGTTTTGAAGTGTTAGTGATTTTTTTGTATTTGCATACTATCTAAGTTTTATCATCAATTCTAGTGATATCTAAGTTGCTTCTACCTTTCTTAGTTTCTATTCTAATTTTATGAGGAGACTCCATGATAAAGGCATTTATAAAAAAAGTAATTTGTTGGGGGCTCCTTAAAATTTCAGAGGGTTAGTCTATGAACATCATGGTGGGGAGCACCCTCGCAGGCAGGCCTGGCACTGGAATAGTATCCCAGAACTCTACCTGAACCATAAGTTGCAGACACATAGAAAGAAACCAGACATGGTTTGGGTTATTGACACCTTAAAGCCTACCTCCTGTGACACATTTTCTCCAATTATGTTACCCCTTCTAATCCTTCCTAAATAGTTCACCAACTGGGAACCAAACATTCAAGTATATCAGCCTATGGGAGCCATTGTTATTCAACCTACCTGCACTCTTCCCTTCAGAAATAGTGCTGCCATGATAATCCTTTCATTACTATCTCATAGATGTCCTTCATTTAGTTCTTTTACATACATACTCAGGAGTGGAATTCATGGACCATAAATCTATTTCTAATCTTGTTAAGAATGTCCATTGTCGCCGGGCGGTGGTGGCGCACGCCTTTAATCCCAGCACTTGGGAGGCAGAGCCAGGTGGATCTCTGTGAGTTCGAGGCCAGCCTGGGCTACCAAGTGAGTTCCAGGAAAAGGCGCAAAGCTACACAGAGAAACCCTGTCTCGAAAAACCAAAAAAAAAAAAAAAAAAAAAAAAAAGAATGTCCATTGTCTTTTCATTCATGTTCTTTGTAACATATATTAGTTTCATTGAGAAGAAATGTACTATATGCTGTCAATTGGTGGGCTGTGGGATAGTCCTTCTGTATTCTGTGAATGTGTATTTTTTTATTGGTTAATAAAGAATGGGTATAGACCTTCACAGAAACAAATACATAGTTAAATAAACAGTAAAAGTAATATAAAAAAGCCACATAAAGATGGGAAATACATAGGAAGTCTGGATCCTGTATATTGCTGTGTTAATTTTGAATTTTTTTTATTGCTACCAAAGACAGCTGCTAAGAGACCTGTAATTGAAAGAGGGAATACTGAAATAAACCCACCAAGATACTTTAGGAATGCCTTAACTTTAAAATGGAAGTCAAAAATACATTTGTCAAATGGAATTCAAAAATACTTTCAAGAAGAGGTTGTGATTTTGTTTCCACAGGAAAGGAGAGGCTATGCATTTATTCCAAGTTAATATGGTTTGATTGAGGAAGATCCCCTGAAAAATCTCTGATGGGAATGGCTGTCCCAGATGATCCAATGTTTCAGAGCACCTCTGTTGCAGTTTCCTCTGAGTTCTACATCCAGAACAGCTTGAAAGCTGCTGTCAGAAAGGACTCCAGTTAGGACTTGACCATAATTCTAATTTTTCTCAGGGTCCTCAAAGATTAGCAGCACCCTCCAGTCAGTGGGAAATAGTCTAGAAAACTACACCCAAATTCCCAAAATTATATTTATGAATGTTTGTTTTCATTTAACAGTTGTAGCCCACTAGGATTCCTAGTGGCTGCACCCAGCAGGACTGCTTAAGAGGTTGACTGGACCATGGGCCTGATTATCAGGTGTTCGTAAGGGTCTACACTGTAACCAGCAAGCGGGAGGCTTTTGCTCCACCCCTTGGCATTCTTATAAATAGATCTCTGGAATAAAGTTCGGAGCCCATTTGGATGAGGATCTAAGCCCACCTGAGTCTATCCTGTGTTTTCTCTCTGTTTCTCTATCCTCTATTTCTAAGGAAGTCTCTTATCTCTCATTCCTCAAGAGTCCCTGGGGTAAATACATATAGGGGCTCTTTCCCCACACATGCTCCATCACAGATCACAACTTAACAAAGACAAAGAAAAAAATAAAAAAGAAAAAATAACACTAGGACTTGGTGAAAGGATTGTGAGGGTGTTGGGAGTGTGTACATGCTGATAAGGAATTGAAAAATGAAGGCAATGGTATTTTATTCTTGGGTGCATAGGTTATGCAGTAAAATATTGCAAGTCTGCAGCATTAGATTTATATATATATATATATATATATATATATGTGTGTGTGTGTGTGTGTGTATATGTGTGTGTGTGTGTGTTCTCTCTCTCTCTCTCTCTCTCTCTCTCATCTATAAAAATTAAGGAAGGTAGAAAATAGAAATATTGGGTTAGGAATATAGAAAATAAAAAGCTTAGGGTAAAGTAGGAAAAGATAAGCCTAACTATGGGGCTATGAATGCAAAATCCCGGGAAAGACACAGAGGAAAAATCTATCAAAGAAGAGATTAACATGGAGCTATCCAGGAGAGGAGCTCTTCTTTCTGTCCAAGAAAGGAAATTCCTGAAACACATGCTTTCGGTTTGCCTCATTGACCTGGAGTGAAGCCCTAAGGGATTTGACTCTGGCAATAAGCCACAAACTGAGTGAGGAGACAAACAGATGCAAGGCTCAGGAACTGGGTTAGGTGAAAGATCTAATTAGAGTGGTATACATGTTAAAAGTTGGCACAGGCATTCTAAGGCAAGTTTAGGAAAGAAAAATCTCCTGTTGCAAAAGCAAAACCCTGTAAAGGGAACTGGAAAGTTTGCTAGCATACACGAAAAGCTTTCTGGGAAATGTAGTATTAATGCAGGTTTGAAACAGTGCCTTATATCATCTAATAGCTGCTCAAAGAGTCAATATGGTAATTTCAGCCTGAAGGGAAGTTTTTGGGTAGAGCAAACCAAAAGTACTGCTATAACAGAAATGTTTGTCTGAATTGAAGCACCTAGGGATTTGAATAAAGGGACAGCCTCTAGTTAGAAACCGGTTACTGCTGAGAGCTAATCTCTGCTGGTTCTGGAATGGCTGAGAGAGCTTGGCAGGAAAGGCAACTTTGGGGTGTGGCCTTGTACCAAAAATATTACAGCTTCCTAGCAACAAATGCTACAAATCCATAGCAACAGAACTCACTAAATCCCAGCATTGAAAGAGCCATTGAGAAATCTTACTTCAAACTCTCAAGAACTTTTAGAATAATATCAAAACTTTACTATAAATTCTGAACTTTAGAAATGATTTGTGTACTTCTGGTCTTGTTAATAATTTAGTTAAAAATCTTTTCTAGATGTTAAGAAATATCTTTGCTAAGGTAGTTCTATAGAGTTTCTTTAAGAATATCTAAAGCAGTCCTATATTAAGCCTGTAAGAAGTAAAGATGCTAGTTGTAGACTTAGGTAAGGTTTCTTCTAGATGTTAAGGTTTAAACAGTAGACCTATAGAATGTAAGTACGACTTATGTAAGGTTTATAAAGTAGATGTAAAGGCTTGAGTAAGACTTAGGGTTTAGAGAGTAGTCCTATAGAATGTATGTTTACTCTATAGGCTTGAAGGAGACTTGGGTAGGGTTTATAAAGTAGTCCTATCAAATGTAGGTTTAAATAGGTCATAGATTTAGTCATAAAAATGTAGGTTTAAAATTATATAGTTTTAGGTCTAAGGATATGAAGAGTAAGTTTTCCCAACCTGGGAAAACAATATCCATACCAGACTTGGTAGTTCCAGAAACCACCAATAACAACAAGAAGCAGCTCCAGAGACTGCCAGCTTTAGGAAATAGCAGCCACGTATTCACGGCTGAGACCTATGAAGCGGCATAGCTTCTCAAGCATCAGACGCCAAAAGCCAGTGCAAGTGCCAGCTGCAAGAGAGTCTCAGAAGCTGAGACCCTCAAGGCATCAATGCTGTAAACAAGGGTCTACAAGGTTTCTACCGAAAGGAAGTCACGGTGAGAAGGAAACATGCTAAGCTATGAGAGAAGCTAAGGGCAAGCAGCAGTTTAGAAACCCAGCAGAGACGCTGCACGGCGGGAAAGGTGACCAGCAAGGTTCTGCAGCCTTCTACACCATGAGAAAGGTGAATGGTGGAGAGAGCTCAGCGGTTTGATGTCACCTCAGGAAAGATGAACAGCAAGCAATGGACACTTCAGAGACCAGAATGCTTCCAGAGGCCTAGAACAGAGTGGTGTCAGTGCTGGATGAGTAGCTGAGACACGTGGGAACTGCTGAGTGCTCCCTGCTGAGCAGCCAGACCAGGAATCTGCCAATGGGACCCGGTTTGCTGAGCACTTGGACCATGAGCGATGCAGGGAATGGATTTTCCTCCCAAAGCCAGGGCTGCTGCCAAAAAGCCACGGTTCAGCTCATGACAGCTGAATCTCCCTAGCCTGGTCTGGGAGGAGCCTGCTCTGGGCTGCAGACTACAGAGCACAGTGGTGGTTGGGATCAGAGGTTTCAGAGAGACTTGCATGACCTCAAAAGTTTTGGTTGTGGAACTTCTCTTCTTTGGAGCTGTTTGCTTCAGAGTCATTACAACTCTGACAGCTATACACAGACTTAAGGGCAGCTGACAAGCCAGGTCCTGACTGGAGTGCTCAGAGGAACTTTTAGGAATGGTACCAGAACTCTTTTTGAACTTTCAGGCTTAAGAAATGAAATGGACAGTAATGTTTTCATTACAGTGGGACAGTTTGAGTTTACTTATGCATATCAACTCTATCAATGGTGATGACTTATGAACTGAGTGTGTAACTATTTATGTAAAAATGGAACTGCTTATAGAGAAATAGAGGTTTTCTAACTAGGCTCAAGATTTAATTTAAAATATAAAGAAAAGGGAATGTTGCTAGAGTTTTCCTGACTGGCCCACAGTCAGGACAAATCTCTCTCACCCGCCAGTCCCAAGCCGCTCAAACCCAATCAAGTAAACACAGAGACTTATATTGGTTACAAACTGTATGGCCGTGGCAGGCTTCTTGCTAACTGTTCTTACAGCTTAAATTAATCCATTTCTATTAGTCTATACCTTGCCACGTGGCTTGTGGCTTACCGGTACTTTACATCTTCCTTATCCTGATGGCGGCTGGCAGTGTCTCTCTGACTCAGCCTTTCACTTCCCAGCTCTATTCTCCTCCTTGTCCCACCTATACTTCCTGCCTGGCCACTGCCAATCGGTGATTTATTCATTGACCAATCAGCAACACATTTGACATACAGACCATCCCACAGCAAGGGAAAGTTAATATTCCTTAGTATATTTAATTTTAAAAATATTTTCGTGTTACTTGAGTGAATTAATGTTATGTTTTGTATAGTTCTATTAAGAAATTGTTCTTGAATGTAGGTTTGTAGGTTGAGAGTAGGTTTGTAGGAAGGTTGAGAGTAGGAATTATAATTGCTCATAAAAATGTTCATGTTAGAATTATTAAGTTTGATGGAGTTGCATCAAGAGTTTTTTCTTTTAAAATGTAAAGAAGAGGACCTGTTGTAGCCCACTAGTTTTCCTAGTGGCTGTACCCAGCAGGACTGCACAAGAGCTTGATTGGACCATGGGCCTGAGTATTAGATGTTTGTAAGGGTCTACACTTGGCTGTAACTAGCGGGGGTTGGGGGGTCTTCTTCTCCACCCTTTAGCATTGTTATAAATAGACCTTAGGAATAAGGTTGAGGGTCTGTTTGGATAAGGACCCAGGCCCACTCAAGTCTATCCTGTGTTTTCTCTGTTTCTCTCCCCTCTATTTCTAAGGAAGTTTCTTATCCCTCATTCATCAAGAGTCCCTGGGGAAAATAATGGTGGGGGCTTGTCCACCACATTTAAGGGATGTTGGTTACTAAATGTTATTGATCATAGTCAGTCACTCTCTAAAAGAAGAAAGGAGGATATTATAAAGAAATGATGGGAAAAGGGTTAAATAAAGATTATTGAATCTTCTTGAATCCAAAACAACTGTTATTCTCAAAATATTTTACATTGGTATCGATTTTAGTTTATTGATATAAATTTAAGGTTAATTTTTGTTATGCTTCATGTATATTTCTGCTCTTGTTATAGGTATTATGTTTATGCAGCTGAATTAAAAATGTAAGGTATAATTTAAAAATACAAAATTGCAAACATACAGTTAGTCATCTATAATAGTCAAACTTATAGTCATGCTAGTTTGGTTTTCTAGATATACAAAGATATATTTCAGATAGATAGGTAATCTTCAAACACCTACAGAATATGGCATTTAAAATGTTTAATAACTTAGACTTTTCATGACAGTGAGACACATCTGGTCCTGGCAGCACCAATGTACTCCATAAAGGTTGATGGGCATTGAAGAAACTCCGTATGGAGTTTGTTTTCTTTATGACAAAAGCTAGCCATGTGGGCAAAGAAACTGCCCTTCCTTCAATTGCTGACAGTTACTGTCCAAACTGTACCAGCAGGACACAAGAAAGGTGACTGCTGAGCTTTGCCAAGACAAAGTAGGACAGTCCTTCAAATTTCCCTGCTTCACAGGAAAGTCTGTCAGATATGCTAGGCCTGTATCACAAAGAAGGATGACCAATATTACAGAGGAAACTTGGGTGACTTTCCAGGCAGCCAGTTGATTCTGTCATTTGTCACATTTTTTTGGAAGTTGCTTGCCTGCACTTTTTGCTTACTCAGGTAATGTTATTTCCTTCTCAGTTCTTTGATGGAAATGAAGACTATATAATTATAGTTTTTCTTAGTTATGATAAAAAGGTAAGTTAGATATAAAACTTTAAACTCACAAAGATGAGATAGGTAATAAAATATTTTCTCTGATTTTATCAAATACAAATGGACTGGATATTGTAACTGTAATTCTTGTTTGATAACTGTTTTCTTGTATGTAATTTTACTATGTTAAAGTTGAAACCTTCCTTTTTGACTAGACAGAAAGGGGCAAATGCTGTGGGATATCCTTCTGTATGCTGTCAATATGTATTTCTCTCATTGATTAATAACGAAGCTGCTTTGGCCTAGCAAAAGCAGAATAGCAATAGCAGGGCAGAAAAAAGCCATGTGGGACAGCCAAACTGAAGAGAGGAGAAGGGCAGAGTCAGAGAGAGACAAGCCAGCCCCAGGAGAAGCAAGACACTAGAGAACAGGTAAAGCCATGAAGCCATGTGGCGATATGTAGATCAATAGAAATGGGTTCATTTAAGTTGTACAATCTAGTTAGTAATAAGCCTGAACTATAGACCAAACATTCTGTAATTAATATAAGGTTTGTGTGATTATTTTGGACTGAGCAGCCAGGATAAAAGAAAAGCTCCACCTCCATTTCTATTTATGTTATTGTGTCAGTTTGGGCAAATGTATGCGTGTATGTATGTTTTCACTTGTGTGTTTGATCAAGAAAGTAAGCAGAGTCACTGTGAATATTGAAAATGAGATTTTCTTTGTTCTTACTCCATCTATCTACTCTCACTTTGTATAGGACTTGGCTTTTGGACCTCTCTCTGCATTTAGTATTTGCGTGTTTGTTATACTCAAATATAGAAAAATGTTTTTTATAACAAAATCTTGCTGAATTAATTTAATCCACATGAAATTCACAATTTTTTTATTTTTTTTTTGAGGCAGTGTTTCTCTGTATAATAATCCCAGCTGTCCTAGAACTCATTCTGTAGACTGAATTGGCCTTGAACTCACATAGATCCTCCTGCCTCCACCTCGAAAGTGCTGGGATTAAAGGCCTGTGCCACCACTGCTGGTTTGAAATTCACATCTTGTGATAGAATAGATATAGGTGTTTCTCCAGGCAGCTTTATTATCTAAATTCCTGTGACTCTCTGAGTTTGACAACCATTCTGAAGTAATAAAATATAATCACTCTTACTGAAAATGCAAGGCAAACAGAAGCAAACAAATGGCACTGTATTTACCTTAGGCAGAGGCTTGGCAGGTCTGCAGTGGAGTCCTCCAACAAAATCAAAATTTGGTAGGAGAGGGTGAGGAAATTCCAAATCCCAGTAGGTTCGAATGAGCCATATATCTGCCTTCCCCATCATCTCAGTGAGTGTTGTGGGTCTTCCTGAAGAGGGATCAGAACAGGGAAGGTATAATCCATGACATAAGTGCCAGGTGAAGATGAATATGCCAGGGAGTCTTCTGAAAGCACTTTGGATAATGAGTCATTTACAAGCATGTGGCTGGAATATAAAACATATTTGCATCTATCTATCTATCTGTCTGTCTATCTATCTATCTATATCTGAATGTATAGTGTGTAACACAAGTTTATAGTATCTATGTTACTCATCCTTATGCTTAGAGATATATGAAGTCACCGTGCAAGTGGCAAGTGATGTAGAAGATACCACAGCTATAAAATACTTTGGAAATTCATGATTAACAAATATCTAGATATGCTATTTAAATATGTTCAATTTCATTTTCTATGATTCTTTTTTATCATAGTCACTTAAACACTTTACCCTGCTCTTCCCCATCAAGTTTTCACTGGTTATCTGCTGGAATCTTGATGTGTGCTCTTCTAAGGGAACTGAGAATTGTTCTGTTTTGTTTTATTTTGTTTTGAGATATTCTGATGGAGCCCAAGTGTGATTCCTATATCCTATATAGCCATAGTTGACCTTGAACTCCAGATTCTCTTCATCAATATTTCCTCTGCTGGGAGTACAGGTGTGTGCTACCACACCTAGTGTAAACATTTGTGGGAATTATTTCTTCAGCACTTCATTTTGAGACAGGGTCTCACTATATAGCCCTGGCTGACTTCAAAGAGAATTTTCAATTATGCCTGAGTTCCTTCTCCTCATACTGCTCTTGATTCACAATTGACTGTGTAATAATTTGTCTGTGTATGTCTGTTTGGAGATAATAACGATGACAAGTCTTAAAATATGGAAAGAGATGTTTGGTCATTATGTATATTTTAAAACACTTTAACTAGTAATCAATGTCTACACTTCAATGTCATATATTTTTAAACAAAGTTTCAACCCCACTAATAAATAAATATAGATTGTCCAAAATTATAAATATCCATGATTTCTGTGCTGATTATGTAGACAGTGTATTCATAGCTGTGCAAAAATTTAGCAGGTGAAATGAGAATATATTTCAAATTATAAATGAGAAAACTAATGTATATAAAGGGAAAAGCTATCAATGCTATGTAGATACCTATCTAGAAATATGTATTAGCCCTCAGTCTATATGTGCAAATCATGATGACATTGAGTTTGTTTAAAGCTACTGTTTTCGGGGTTAGTGGTGTGGGAGGCCTGCTCTAGCTTTTTCTTCAGGATACTCTTGAGGAGAGAGGGTTGATAAATATTTAGATAGAAAGATAGAGGGGAAAGAAGACAGATAGAAACACAGGATAGCTTTGGGAGGGTTTGCCTCAATATCCACTGGCCTCTTCTGTCTCTTCATAAAGGCTTTTTATATGCATGCCAAGGGGTGGGGCAAAAGACTTCCCCTAGTTCAGCCAAGTGCAGACCCTTGGAAATCACCTGGAAACCACACATGTGGTCAAGCCATTGCTTGATGCAGCCCTGCTAGATAAAGCAAGCTCAGAATTTACCAGGAAACCTCTGTGGGCCTCCAGAACTCCCCCTCTTGATATAATAAAGGGCCCACCAAGCCCCTCAGATAGACTGTGCCTGTCCTTGGTCATCCTTCTTGATTAATTTTCCTTACCTGTCATGGAGATACACTTTCCATGAAGCATACTCTGGTTTACATTGGAAGCTATCAAGAAGAAAGTTGCCCATCTTTGACTACCATCCCTTGGCAGGAGGAGGTATAGAGCTTAACTCAGCTCTGACTCAGGTACCTATCAAGAACCTCTAAATAGTCAAAACATCCACAGTGATCTCCAAAGTGGCACACCTCCCAGTAAAGGAGTAGAGGATTATAAAGGATTTTTGGAATGGGTTTAGGATGACTACAGCAGTCTTAGCTGCAGAAAGCTCTTTCCTAAATCAAAACTCTCCATGCAAATGCATCAAATGAACTGTATCAAACTTAAAAATTCCCTTGGATTTTACCAAACCATGGTTCATAAATAAAGACAATTCAATTATGAACATTACTGTAGATATTTACAACTAACATGAATATCACTAAACTTATACTTTTTACAAACTTATATTCAAAAGGAAACTCTATAGAACTATTTTACAAACTTTAGCACACATCTAGAAGAGATTTCTTAACATAACTATTTATGTTTTCTTCCAACAAGACAGAGAGTAATTTCTTTGGACTTCATTTGAAAAGTAGGAATATGGTACTAGTTATGAAATTCAAAGGTCTACATCAAGTATACAGCATAATATGTAAAACATTTTTTGCAAAACATTGCTCAGTAGATCATTAATCTCAATCACCTATAATTGATATTCTTTAGACTTTTCTGACAAAGCATGCAAAATGTTAGTTTTCAAAGAATAGTGCTGCTGCTAAATAACTCTTTATGCATTCCAGGTTTTTTAAAAACTCTATTGAGAGCTATCTCATTTCTAAACATACATAGCAAGCCCAAAAAGGAAGAAAGGAACACGAGGAGGAGAAGTACCTAAGGAACATCCTGTTTCTGAATTACACAGCTGGTAGCTCAACAGCAGTCAATCTCCCATCAGGGGAAAATATTTGTCTAAGTTAGAGTGGTGTTCCAGACCTGAAGCACTCAGCAGGCTCCCCTGCTAGGCTATGCCCTGAAAGATCAAATTGTGGGTGAGTGGCTTCACCACTCTTACAGGCAGTGTCATTGCTAGGGGTCTGTAACACTTGCTGCTAGGGAGCTGTAACACTCAGGATGACACCAATTCCCCATTCACCTTTCCTGCCAGGCCCTTTTAGCCATTCCAGAACTGGGAGAAGTGCACCCAGCAGTGGACTGTCACCTGCAACGGGGCTGTCCCTTAACTCATTACAGTTCCCCTGAGTGCCACAATTCAAACAAACATTGATGAAACTTCGCTCAGTTACAGCAGAACTTTCGGTTCACTCTCCTGAGAAGCCTCACTTCAGGGCAAGGGTGGAATTACCATATTGAGGTGCTGTAAAGCTCTCAGAAAAAACTTCCTGCACAGCAATTAGGAACCATCTTTCTTAAAGGAGCCTGCATTGAAAAAGAAGTGGTGTGGCTCCAGGTTTTGTTTCATTCCAGCTTTCCTGGAGAAATGTCAGCAGCTATGGTATTAATAGAGCTCACATTTTTTTTTTGTTCCACACACCTCACCAGACTCAGGCAGCCATCAAGCTTCATTTAGTAACTGTGGGTACAATTTTCCCGTTTCTCAATTATTTGAAGCTGCTTTTTAAGTTTACCATGAGTTCTTTTAATAATGCCTTGCTTTGTCTTTCAATGTTCCCCTCTTGCATCTCAAGCACAACCCAAGTTTCTTATTTGCCATAAGTTTTTTCCACACCCAAAGCAATTTCCCAGTGTGCAGACTGCTTTCCCTTGTTTTCTAAAGGGTCACAAAGTGACTTGATAAACATCATTAGCACCTTAATTGCCTCTTGACAGGCAAGTTTTGTTCATCTTCTTCCAATTCTCCAGAGGAAAGGCTAACAAAGCTTGAGAAAAAAATGCATTTTGAGCTGAACAGACACCATGCTGTTTTTTCTGCACTTTTCTCTGGGCCTGCCTGCCTATGCTGCCATGCTGTTATGAACTACATTTCCCAAGCAGCCTTTCTGGGTCCCAGCTGTTGCCAATTGTGGCCATTGCATTCCCAGTTCACCTGGCACTGTCCCCAGAGCAGGTCATGCCCATCCAACTGTGTTCACTTAGACAGGGGCTTGGTGGCTTTTCTTTCCCTCCTCACTGGGTCAGTGAAAATAGTATTTGAAAAAAGCTTTTTCAGCTACAGGACTTAAGCTCTGGGACACAACTAGTCCCCATGAACCCCCACCCATCTCTGCCCCAGTTGCTGGCCAGTCTCTCCCACCAAAATTCCCCTTCAGACCCTGCAATTCATACGACCCACACCCTAACCCAATACCCATCCCCCTGTGACACCAGTGGCTTACTGAGACATAGAATCTGCCAGCTCTGACTGGACCAAGAGCCCTGATAAGACTAAGAGCAGCTCCATTAATCACAGAATCAGCTAGCTTGGATTGGGCCAAGAGCAGCTTCCTGAGATACAGAATCTGCCAGCTCCAATTAGACCAAGAGTTAAGATTGGACCCAAAGGAGCCGCTGAGACACAGACACAGCAAGCACAGATTGGACCAATAACAGCATGCTCAGACACAGGCACCTCTTGCACCTATTGGAGGAAGAAATGGGTAGGTGCCAGTGCAAAAATACATACAGCAACAAAATGAGTGATATGGCATCACCAGAACCTAGCCCTTCTGCAACAGCAAGACCTGAACATCATAATGTAGAAGAAGCAGAAGAAAGTGACCTTAAAAATAACTTCATGAAGATGCTAGAGGCCTTTAAAGAGGAAATGAAAAATTCCCTTAAAGAAATTGAGGAAAAGACAAACAAAAAATGGAAAAAAAATCAATAAATCCCTTAAAGAAAGCCAAGAAAACCATGAAAGAGGAATTAAACATGTGAAGGAAACAGTTCCATACCTGAAAAGTGAAATAGAAACAATTAAGAAGACACAAACAGAGGGAATGCTGGAAATAGAAAATCTGAATAAATGAACAGGAAACACAGATGCAAGCATAACTAACAGAATACAAGAGATGGAAGAGAGAATCTCTGGTGTAGAGGATACAATAGAGGAAATAGATTCATCAGTCAAAGAAAACACAAAAGTCAAAAAAGTCATAACACAAAATGTCCAGGAAATCTGGGACACCATGAAAAGGTCAAACCTAAGAATAATAGGGATAGAAGAAGGAGAAGAATACCAACTCAAAGGCATAGAAAATACAGTCAACAAAATCACGGAAGAAAACTTTCCCAACTTAAAGAAGGAAATACCTATGAAGATACAAGAAGCTTACAGAACAACAATTAGACTTGTCTCCCCAAAAAAGTCCCCAACCAGATAATAATTAAACCACTAAACATACATAATAAAGAAAGAA